TGAGAGACTGAAGATCAGACAAAGAAAAGCACAAGAAAAGTAGAAAGCAAAACCACCCCCAAAACGAGGAGACTGAATCCACTCCTGCTGACCTACTTTTCTCATTGGGAAATGGTCAGGACAAAAGCCCCGGGCAATGGACCTCCGTGCCAGGTCTTCCCTCCTGGCTTCTGTAGCTTTCTGCAGCTCTGTTAAAAGGTCACAGCTCTCACTGAGAGATGAAAGGCTCTGTGGTTCTGTAGCCAGGACAATGGCAGTAGCTCCTGACCATGGGTCTCTTGCTGAAACACACCCACCGAGAACATGTGGATCCTAGGTGAGAAGCTGCTACAGCCAAATCCTGTAGGTGTGGGGTGGGGATGTTGGCATCTGCGGGGAACCCACTGCTAGAGCTCAGGTGTGCCTAGACATAATTCACATGTTATGCCACTCCCCGTGTAAAAATGTATTGGCTCCCTGCTGCCTAAGGTGAAGTCCATTGATGTGGCCGACCGGGCCCTTGTAAAATCTGACAACAACTAAATTGTCTCAGAAGCAAGGCAAAGGAGTCCCCATTCCTTGGCCACAACTGTGATGTCTACACAGCCACATTTTACATACTTGTACCTCACATACGCGCCTCCCCAGCCTGACTCAACAAAACAGTGAAACTCACAGAGATGCCAGCTGTCTTGGCTCGACAAACCCTACTTTGACTTCCCAAAGGAGATTAGAATTTTTTTTCTTTCAAGTTCCCAGTACATCTCCATTACAGCATTTATCTCATTGCATTTAAATATCCAAGAAGAGCCCACCTGTCTGTTTTCTTTCTTCTTTGGTTTCTTTTATATCTACTATAGTTAATACAGTAGTCGTTTAAAAAAAAGTGTTGGATAAATAAATAAATGAATGAAAGACTGGACTCTCAGACATACCCTGTTGCAACTCCAAAGCATATGTAAAAGGTTCTTAGGAAGGCTTGAATACAAATTAAACCAATTTAGAATCTTGAAACAATTTATGCAAATCCAGTTTAATATAGATTTAGTCTGAACTCAATGTTCTGCTGCCTCCCTGGCACACAGGTTTCTCTGAACTGTGCTCCCTCCAAGTGTAGAGAGAGACACGGATTGAAGATGACTTCATAAAATAAACAATCTCTTACGTTTGTAAGGCCACTTTAATCTAAAAGGCCCAAACGGAAAGGTCACTAATTGTGCATGTGAAAGTTAAGAGTCATTGTGTCAGTGTTACAGAGTGACAGGGAAAATAAGGAAATGATACACGCAGATGAGAGTTAATGACAACAGGACGGCTCTCAGGAAGGGTTGGGTGCCCCTTGCATCTGGCTTCAAGTGTTCTAGGCATAATATTCCCAGGAAGTTTTCCTACTGTAGTAATCAGTGGAAGGAAAGTTTTTCCCTGTGCTCAAAAGAAAAAAGGTCTGAGATGAAAATATCTCTAAACCCTAGCCTTACTTCCTGAATTCAGAGTCAAAAGCCAAATGCAGATCTGAATGACTTCTGTGTTCATCTACAGGATTAGAAAGACACACTCCAAGAGAGTCTTCCTAACAATGGATGTCTTCTTTAATGATTATTACTGATCACCTCCTACGCACCTATGTACTGTTACATTTGGGTAGATACAGAGATGTCTTGTCCTGCTCCAGACAAGAGAGAAATAGGTATGAACCAATTTTGGTGAGACCACGTGCTATGTGTCAGAGTACCTATTTGTGTAAAGTACTGAGGGGTCACAGATTTGAAAGCAGCAGCTCTGCTTGTGGGAAGTGAGAGAGGGAACCAGAGTTTGCTCTTATGCTCCTCCTCACAGAGGGAATGGCACTGTTAAGTTATATGAGACACTAATAACACTTTGGAATGAGCCCTCAGTCTACCTACCTACCTGCCTATCCAAAACTGTTCCCATTACATAAAACTATTCCTTAAACATAAACACATTCTTTTTGAAGACCAAGATATGATAGTGAACTCTTGATTATTTTCCATCTGTTTGTCCATCTCCTATATAAACCTCTCCTCTTCTGCGACTCAGGACTCCATATTCTGGTTCATCAACCATCTAACTCCAGGTGGTACACGGCTGGGGAGAAGGCGCTGAACGCCCAGTCAGCTCACTGGCTAATTGTTAATATCAGCTGGTTTTTAATACAACACTTTTTCTTTTCTCCCTGCAGGTAATAAACTGGTATTGAGCACCAAACAGTGATTTTTTGGACTTTGCTGTTAGCATCACTTCAGTGCTAGGATTCTGACCATGGCCTTGCTGTGCCAACTTATATACATCTGCTTCTTTAAATGTCTACCATGAATCAACTCACTCATTGTGCTTCTTGCCTCCTTTTGTAAGTGGAAAATGAATTAAGGGATGGGATTTCTCATCACCACAGCAAAGCTATAGGAGACTATGATTTAAAAGCTATGCTTTTCAATGTTTGGGGTCCTCCACTGACCAAGAGATCACATTTATTTTGAGCGTATGTCAGATCCAAATAGTGAAAACCACGAATGTGCACATTAAAAAAAATTGTTTTTAAGTATCCATAGTGGCGAGGTAATGAACAAGAAGAGCAAGATCTTAGGTCTCCAGCAGGCAAAAAGCAATAGAAATCTGGATCAGACATTTCCTAAATGTCAGGTTTTGCCAGAGAAGGGAAGGGATGAAAAAACAAAATTGAAGACTGGTACTGTGGAGCTGCTAATTAAAACAATTCAGCGGACATAGATGCTAGAGTAAGTTTGGACCTGCCATGTCAGGCTGGTTTCAATACAAATTCAGTGTTCCAATTTCTCCCTTCATTGGGAAGGTATAATTAGCTCTGCTGCAACAGAATGAAAGCCATTTCCCGATGATGCTGGCAGCTTCCTTGTGATGGAGGAGCATCTGCTACCGGCCCCTCCCACCATGACGGCACAGAGCCTCGGGCCCCACAAGCCACCCTGAAAGGGAGACTTGGGTTTCTAGTGCTTAGGTTCTTTCCTAAAGATAAGACTTCTCCATCTCGTTGACTCCATTCCTGATCACCATTCTTCCATAGAAGAGAGCCTAGGCAAACATAAAACACCTCCCTTGTGACTCTGGCAGAAAGGATTCTTGACACTGGAGATCAGCTACTGAGCTCCTCACCTTGGCTTTTGATGTGGGCTGTTGAAAAGGACACGGATAAGACAAGGAAGAAAAACTTACTTAAGGTGCTGGCAGGTGAGAAACCTGAGCCATAAAGAAAGTGACAGAGAAAACAAGTGGACACCATAATGGGAACAAGCTTAAGGATAAACTTATAAGTGATCCAATAGGGGTTAAGTAACATGGCAGCCAGTGTGCTGTGGCATCATCAGACACACCGGAGTTCTGAAAAACCCAGCAGCACTTGTGCTAGTCCATTTGACAAACTCAACAGACTGGACCTCACAGATATGCCACTTCAATGAGCAAAATACCGCTAAAATACTTTCATGAAACCGGAAGGGAGACCATCCTGTCAAAATTTTAGAGAAGGTAAAATAAAATCAATATCTTTGTCCTCGTTGGCTGCTATCCAACTGTCAGATCCCCCTCTATCATTCTCTTCCCCATCCCTCCTGCACATTTCCACCAAAAAAGAGGCCAATATGAGGCTGGTTCTTCTGTCTTGTTGTTGTTGTTTTTTTTTTTTTTTTCAAGAGAATCCTTTTCAACTTGCTTTCTGTTCCTTCTTGCAGCACAAAATATGGCAATTCTTACCAAGGTGACAAAGGAAAAAACCATACAAAACAGTCTACAGAAGAATATGGAGCAGGCAATAGGTTCATTTTCTTAAACCAATTGTTGCAGAGTTGACTCTGCTAAAATGTACAAGCACTGGAAGTCAGGAAGGTTACACGTGGGTGCAGGAAATAAACTGAGAAGACACCTCCTAAAAATAAGCAATCATGAGAAGAGCAACGGAGAGGAGAGGCCTAACCTTCACCTGTTCTACCTTTCTATGAAAGTAGTTAAGTTATATGTCTTCTCCCCTCAGGCCATACACATCGAGGATGCTATTCCCTCCTCCTTTTCTTGCCATTTTCTTCCTCTCTCCTTGGAAGTCAAGCAACACAAACAAGAAAATCAAATAGAGAGTATGAGGGGGTATAACATCATTCAGAACCTTCATTCTTCACTATCAACTTCAAAGTTTCTACAAATGTCCCTTTTTATCATACTTAAGCTTCCAAGATCTCAGCATAACTAAAGTACCCAGGAGATCAATTCTAAGCCATGGGGGATTTGAATTCCTGCCTTTAACTGTACCCCTCGTTCATTTTAGTAGTAATACCACTGGCAGGCTGGACGGAACTATTTAGGAATAGACAGGACAGAATCTCTCACATCTCACCAGCTGTACCACTTTCAACCAAGGTAGTTCCATGAGAGAGCTTTCAAAATTTAGTATACGATTATTCATGTGAGTAAGTTTGCCTTAGTTCAGACCCAGTGCAAAAGCTCCAATATACAGAATTAAACCTAAGCTTCTGAATCCTGTAGTTTCATGCCTACCAGAAATCCACCCAAGCCCTTGGGTTCCTCTGGGAATTCTCATACTGAGTATTTACCTTTTGGGGATGTCTCACTACCCTGGAGAGACATGAATAGGCAGGCGGGCTGAACTATGTCCCCCCAACATTTCTATATTGGAGACTTTCCCCTAGTACTCCAGAACATGACTGTATTTGGACATGGGATTTTGAAGGGGTGATCAGGAGGGAAAAAAAGACTACATAAGGGGTGTCCTTATAAGAAGAGGTGATTCAGACATAAAAAGAAACACCAGGGGCCCAGATACATTAAAAACAAAGTAAGGACACAACAGGAAGCAGCTACCTGCAGGCAGGGAGAAAGCAGGTCTGCTACACCCTGATCTTGCACACCCAGCCTCCAGCACTGTGAAGAACACATTTCTATTGAGTCCCTTGGTCTTTCTATTTTGATATGGCAGCCCCAGCAAACAGGGACAGTGGTCGGGGGAAGCCACTCACCCTGTAGTAATCAGTGCTGTACACGTCCCGGGACATCCCAAAGTCCCCGATCTTCACCAGCAGGTTCTCCCCAACCAGGCAGTTGCGGGTGGCCAGGTCGCGGTGCACGAAGTGCTGGGATGCCAGGTAGACCATGCCTGCGGCAATCTGCTGGGCGATGTGCAGCATCTGTGACTGTGTCAGCTCTGTGGGTGGGTTGCCCTCAGCCATCAGCACTGCATCAGGCCCATGTGCCCTGAGGAGGACATGGAGGGAAGGCACTGTTGGAGCCACAGCTCTGATCGGAGGGGCTGTCTGCAAGCCTCACTTCTGGCACTGCCTGACTAAGCATAAGGAAGCACCCAGCTTTACCTGTAAAGCTGCCAGAGCCCTCAGGCTGTTTCACCTCTCCGTGTGTGGAATTCCAGGGTTGTGTGAGCCTGCCTGGTACTCCTACTCTGAGGCTTACAGAAGTGCATTTTTAGGATTTCAGAGACTCTGATCCTGAGAAGCAGAAGATGGCCCCAGTGAAGGAAAATTCTAGGGAGAGGGGACAGCAGAGAGCACCCCAGCCCCAAACTGATGCTTCCAGGGGTCAGCACCAGAGTTTTCCATCTATTTCATATGTGGCCACACAGGGCTGTCAATGTCCTCCTGCCCAGTTCAGTAGAGCTCCAGGGTATCCTCAGGACATTAATTCCCAGTGATAAATACCACTTTCTCCAGTTCACTTTCTTTCTAATCTTATGAGCCACACACACTGGCAAAAACACAGGAGTGCTCCTTTGAACCACTCACAGTTATTCCTTCACAGGGGAAAGCTTAATTCTTTAAACTATGAAAGTTTAAAGTATTTTTAAATCTTCTTTTTCTTCTGTTTGCATACCTGGCTTTTCCCCATCTATGTGATAACTCAGGGCATTTAATAGTGCATGTGCTTCAGAGAGAGGAGGATTCTTGTCTTAGGGTGCTTTCAACAGCAATTCAGTCCTAGATCTAGAGTCCTCCACTGAGCTGCTGAGGTAGACATCAACACCCCACATGGCCTGAGCGGGCACTGTAGGGCAAGGGAGGGAGGTGTAGTTCATTCCCAGAGCTTCTGGCTTGAAAAGGAAAATAAAGGAGGGAAAGGTCTCCTTTAAGACATTTCCCAGCATTGCAGTAAATATGCAGCATTTTCAATAAATTTTAAAGTGGGTGACTTCATCTGCGGATTCAAGAACTATGTATTTAAAAGTGAGGAAGCCAGAATTCTCCAAGGAAACATGTTCTAGCCATGGGTATGCCCCTGCTTCGTGATGGCTTCAGCCCACAGTGATTCTCTTTCCTTGACTCTGAGGCATGCCTTCACCAGACTTTCATTCTTTCATCCTCAGAGAACAATCACTGGACAAAGAGTTGGGGACAAGGAATCTCCTAGTCCCACCAATATCTTGGGAAATCTTTTACCAGGACCTTGGGAAATCTTTTTTACTTCTCTAAGTGGCAATTTCCTCATTAGTCAAAAATACAAAGGGTACCCAGTGATTTCTTTGGCTCCTCCTGTGTATAAATACCTGGATTTAACTATTCCCTAGGGAGGAACTTACTGTTTTTGTACAAGGTAAGTCCTAACAGTTTTCATCTCTACTCAACCCACAGTGCCCAGTGCCTCTTGCCATGGTGAGGGCAACAATGAGGAAATGCTTTAGCCTTTCTTTAGCTCAAAATCTCTCTGGAGGTAAAAAGTCTTGCAGTTCTGAGGCCAAAACTGCGAGCAGGAAATTAGGGCATGGAAAACTGGCTGGGCCAGGGGGTGTGGCTGTTGATCATGGAGATTCAGAATGCATGCCCAAAACAGTTCCCAAAGCCCTACACGTTGACCAGACAGTTCTGTCACCCATTCTTCTTAGGACTCAAGCAGGTTTTTGATAGGTCAGCCCAGACCTGACATCAGCGTGAGGTGTGGAAGATATGAATATAGCCACCATCAAGCTGGACCTCTGTCAACTTGTGCTGGCCAGCCTTGAGTTTGCAGGGCCCAAACTCACTCTACAGAGCATCTTTCTTCCCCTTCCCTACCTGTGATAAACATAGAACATTGCTGCCTTTGTACTTGTCTTGACCAATTCTATATTCAGGAAAAGAAAAACTTAGAAACCACCTCTAATTCTGAGACTCCAGCACCTAAAACCCAGTGACAGTAGCAACACTGAATTTGAATCCAGGCCTAACAGAATAGCTGTGTGACCCTGGATGAAATAACCTTTCTTGGTTTGTTTCTTCACTCCATAAAATGAAGAGACTAACTGCACATCTTTGAGGATGTTGATATGAGAAGGAATGGAGACTGTGTATGCTTCTTGGCCTTTTCATAGAAAAACCAGAGGGAAAAACTTCCCCCCAAAAAACCAACCCTTTTTTAAAAAATAGATATGGACAGGTGATAAAATACAAATTCTCCACTGCTAACACAAAGTATCCTCTCACTAACAGTTAATGAAGTCTAACTCTGTAGACCAGGAGTCCCCAGTCCCTGAGCTACAGACCAGTACCCATCTATGGCCTGTTAGGAGCCTAGCTGGACAGCAGGACTTAGTGGTGGGGGGCAGGGCATGAAGCTTCCTCTGAATTCACAGCCACTCCCTCGGCTTACATAACAGCCTGAGCTTCACCTTGGTGGGATGCAGCAGCATTCACATCTCATAGGAGATGTGCTTCACACCCTGTGCAGGACACCAAGAGAGAACCAAGTGCCCATTCCTTCAGAAAACAGGGAGGAGACAGGTGAGTAGCTAATAGAGCCAAAAAGTGAAAGAACCAAGTTGTAACTCATACACAAACACACACACACCCACACACAATAACACCAACACATACCCAATCTAAGTACTCAGAAGCATTTAATTATATACCAGTGAGTATTTGTGAACTATGCTACAGCTTTTAGAGAGAACCATTTTGGAGAGGAAACTATGGCAGATGAAGGGTCAAGGGACAATAGCTACTGATTTTATAACAGCCTTCACATTTGTCCTTGAGAGCCCTATTACACCCCTTTTAAAGGTAAGGAAACTGAGGCTCAAAGTGCAGGCAGGCAGTCTGCCTTCACTGTTAATATATCTCCTGTTTCTCCTAAGTTAGCCTATCTACCAAGATACCCCAGGTAGCACACTGGTTATTCTTTAAGAGAGTCACTCCGTTTTTAAAGGAAATACAGGTAAGAACCAGTAAGACTTGAAAAGCGTCTGACTTGGACCCACCTGAGAGTAGAGGTTACTGAAAAGAGTAAACCAGACACCCACCTGTGAATGCCAGAAGCTGATATAGGAAAGGAAGAAGAACCCAGCCTCACCCTGGGAGAGCCCGGGACTCTTAACTGTTACTTCTGGGACTGCTTAAGTCCTGTGGTTCCTAGTGTTCCGTGTGCCACTTCCATTCCTGCCTTTGTTTAATGCAAACGAAGACATCATGCGACTTCCTTAACCAACGTTTCCCTGACTCAGTGCGTTTTTTCTCCTCCCAGGGAAATACAGGATGGGGAAATTCACTGTAGGCCACACCAGGGTAACCCACTGTCTTCCTCTAGCTTATGAAACCCAGCTCCTCTTGTGACTTGTCTACCAAGGTAGATGGCTTAGCAGCACAATCACTGCCAGCAAAAGCCAAGGGTCTGCTTACTGCATGTGTCCTATCTGCACCTATGCTAAGAGACTTCTATACTCCTTCTACTGCCCCCATGCCCATTTCATATTTTTGTCAAGGAAGCTGTGATATGTAACTAGGAGATGGCCAGAGCTGAGATTCACCTTCGTCTGTGACTGAAGATAAGTCCCTTGCTCATGCCACCTTACCACTGTGTCTCTCAGGAGTCAGAGCCTCCAACATTGTGGGAATGAGCTTCATTTTCTGAAGCAGCTTTACTTTTTCTTCAGGTGGGTTATGCTCACTCTAAGCTGTCTCTCTGGCTTCATCTGTGACTTCTCCTTCCAATACGCAAGAGCGGGGACTTCCTAAAAAGTCATTGCTAAACTAAACACAATTGGGCCAATGGTAGAAATTTAAGTGATATTAATGCTCTTTAATAACACAATGACTCCCTTTGGTATTTGTCATTTTTCTCTTCCTAACTTACTTTCTTCTAGAGATCCTGCTTACAGTGAAAGCACACAACTTGCTCAAGTTTCCATGACCTTGAGGTGTCAGCAGTACCCATGATCCAGAAGCTTCAATGGCTAAGTTAAATGTTGTTCTACACCCTTCATTTTCCCTTTGAAAACCTTTCCTTTTAGGGAGTCTTGTTCTTTCTGAACTAGCGACTGGCTGGATGTTCCTTTGTTATCACAGTAAAGTCTGCACAACACCCTCCCCGGCTCCAGCCCTCCAGTAATTTCTCTGTCCCTTTCCCCTGGTTTATCCCATAGTCTGCTAGCCCAGACTCTTCACTCCTACCTGATCATACCTATCATGGCCACACCTTGGTGCCTTAGCTCTTACAGTGCCTTGGGACTTGAATAATGTTCTCTTATCCACTTGCCAATCTCTACAGACCCTCTAAGGCAACCCTCTCCAGGGCATGTGCTAAATAATATAATAAATACTCAGTAAATGAAAGTTGAATCAAGTCCTTAGAGTCATTGTGTAGAGATACTTGGTTAAGGAAACAGAAGACACTGTGACTTTCTTTTTCTTCTGTTACTTTCTCTGGCATCTACGAGGACATTTATTAGGAAGGGCTGTTCTGAAGACAGGAAGGTTCCCTTTCCCAAGAACTCCCTGTTCTTGCCTCTGGCTTGTGAGAGCTAGAAGTAAGCTCCCTCTTCAAGCCCAGCTTCCCCTCCACTCTGCCTTACCTAAGGAACTTGTTCAGGTCCCCATGCTTCATGTACTCAAAGACCATGATGAGTGGGTCACCCTCCACGCAGACACCATAGAACTTGACGATGTGCTCGTGCTGGAGGTTGGTCAGCAGCTCAGCCTCGCGGTGGAAGTCCTTGCGTGCATTGTCACTGGCATCCTTCAGTGTCTGGGGAAGAGATGCAGAAGGGGAGAAAACCAAAACTTTTTTTAAAACTCAGGACATCAAAGGAAAAATTGATCAACAAGGATTTTCATCGGTGAGTCTAAGAATTCTAGGAGAGAAAGATATGTATCTCTTATTGAACAAAAGATTGGAAAACAGTGTGATTCCTTAAAAAATAATATTTATATTAATAATTGAGCTATTCCTCCTCATGGGTGGGCAAAGCTTTACAGTTGACCAAGCACTTTCACAGATGTTCTCTTGTTAAGCTACAGACAGGAGCTCATTTTGCAGTCTGAACATCTTTTAGCTCCGTTCCGGACCTTGAGTTTGCCATGAGCTTCTTTCCCATTTCAAGCCCTGTTGAGCTGCCTATGATAACATGGGCAGCTCACCTCTGCCCACAGAACCTCCTCAAAAACTTTACATGATGAGAAGACTTAGTAGAAAAAAAAGTATAATGAGCCTTTATGGGTCATCATCCTGCTTCAACAAGGATCACTTTGCCAGTCTCAGTGTGACATGTTAAAGCCGTCTCCAGCCTGTGCCCTCCCACACAAGAGGCTCAAGAAATGTCCCCCAAAAGTGAGCTGTGAGAAGAACAGTCACACTGCCAAGATAAAGATGCTTAGAAGAATGTGAGCTGCTCTCAGACATCTCCAGATCGCCGCTCAGTCCACCATGCCACCATGGGGTGCAAACCTGGCATGTGCTGGTGCCACACACAAAAGGGCTGAGTCTTGTCATGGACCATCACCAAACCAGAGCGGCTGTGGTACTGAGAAGTCATTGACTTCGATCCAGGCTTTGGCTTATGGACATATAGGAATGTAAGACACGTAAATAACTATGAGTCACTCAAAACCAATGTCCTGAAAACCAGCTCCCGGGTGTCCCTGGCCACAGGGATCCTTCGCATTCATTCCCCTCTCAAAACCGAAACGTCCACTTAATGCTGCACAGCTGACAATGGGCCGGGCCTCCCTACCTTGCTCACTCCTCTGCCTGGAATGCTATCGTGGGTGAGATCATTGGTGCTGGAGATGAATAATGCCTCACCCTAATGTCCACCACATCCTAATCCCCAGAACCTGAGAATTTGTTTCCTTTCTCGGTAAAAGAGTCACTGCAATCTGATTAAGCTGAGACTCTTGATATGAACAGGTTAGTCTGGTTTAGCTGGGTGAGCCCAGAACCAAAAAAGTGTCCTTATAACCCCAAATTTGGAGATGCAAGGGTAGAACTCGAGGTGTGAAGGGAGACATGTTATGTTGCTGTGACTCTGAAGGAGAAAGGGACCATGAACATGGGTAGCATGGAGAAGGTGGACAGACAAGGAACTCTAGAACTTCCAGAAGGACCAGCCCTGTTGAGCCCTTAATTGTAGCTTAGTAAAACTGATTTTGGACTTCTGAGCACTGGAACTGTGAGAGAAAGAATTTGTATTAAGTCACTGAGTTTGTAGTAATTTGTTACAGCAGCCCTACGAAGCTAACTCATTGTCTAACAGCAGATCTGCAAGGCTCAGCTCCCTGCCACCTCTCTAGGAAGTCCTGCCTAAACACCTTGAGTTGGTGTCATAGCCCCATGGCCCCCTGGCCCACCTAGATGACCCTCTTAGATGCACTTCACACTTACTTCTATCTTATCTCTGACCATATCACCAACAACAAGGCAGCCTACGTTGACTTGCTTGTGTCTGTTGTAGACTGAACTCTTTTCATCTCCACACATTTCTTCTCTTTGTGACCAGCACTGGGCACTGCACAAGGCACAAGGCTTGTTTTATTCAGTAGGTGGTTGTAAATGAATGATTCAGGTCATGAAACTCAAACACCAAGGACAGAACAGTCCAGAGAGGGAGTGGTTGCTTCCAACCGAGAGATACTATGGGTCCGTCCTGGTAGAGCTGGCATGTGAATGCATGAATCCCTCCTCCAGGGAGACTGTAATCAGTCATTGTCCCAGTTAGATGGAGTACACGAACACACATATCTGTTCAAATATGGTATAGAACTGGATGAAAACATTGTGGCCCACTGGATTTGTATGACTGCAGAGCTCAACACTGCAACTAGTGTACAAAAACCCTGACATGTCCTTGATGGTCATTTTCCGGGGGGCTCCTGAGCTGGATCACCTGTAAACAGACTGAGATCTGAGAAGATTAGCAGGTGGGAATTTTCTCCCAGAATGGCTCAGGCTTTGCACCTGCTAGAAAGGCTTGGCAGAGAGTGAGGGTGAGCTGTGGCACTTTTTAACAAAGCCTCATCTGGCCTCTGGGATGAACATCTGAGCTATCCTGAGTCTGCACTGCCCCCCATCACTGGAGGGAACAACTTCTGGAAAAGAGTACAACCTTGAGTCAGATTTCTGAGCCCTTTTAGGAGCCAGGCAGCTGAGGCTTTTCTGTTGGGGGTTTCCAACAACTTGGGGGATGGGTTCCTTAAGTACACCACAATGTGAAGAGGGCATCAGAGAGTGTGCAGGGCGAGCGCCTGTCAGCCATCAGGAAGTCTTAAGAGGGTGGGCCAGTGCGTGATCACACAGCGCTGTCAGCTGTCACAGTCTTCAGGTCTAGCATCTTCCCTAACTGCCTCTGTTTAACAGGAATTACAGTCCTCTTGTCAGTGGTGACCTGACCCATAAAGACAGAAATCACAGGCAAAGTTTCTACTAGGCCAGCGACCACAGCTTCTTAAACCAATTCTGGAATTACTCTTTGCTACCCTCTCTTTGGCACATGGTTTCTGAGAAGGGTTTTGATTAGCACTGCAGGCTCTGCTTAGGAAATTGAGTGGATTTGGACTCTCAAGTATTCAAAGAAGCCATAAAACTCTCGTCGCGATTGCCATGGAAACAGCACATGTCTCATTTAATAACAAAATGAACAGTGGCCAAGATCTGAGGTCTGAGTCTCTCCCTTGAATCTGAAGAAACAGAGCTTATCACCACTTCCGTGCCTCCAGATTTACATTAGTTGAATTCAGACTACACTCCTTTGTGTCCCTAGGAGAGATACGCTCATCTTGACAATTTTATTCAGGTTGGTTTTATCTGTGAGCATGCTTTTGGTGAGTTTTTTTTTTAATTCCACCCACACTGCTTTATTTTGCTAAGTGTTTCAGTGGTAAAATAGCAGATGAGGAAAGTATATGGACTGGAAAGAATGCCAATGAGAATTGCCCACAGGTCCTTTCCCTGGGCTCACAGGACAAAGGACACAAGTAGCATTTCTCATATTCAGCATGCATCATAGTTTGGGGTGTGACTGTCTCCATTACTGCCTTTGAATGTGAAAATGCATTCTGTTTTCCCTTCTATTACTGGCTGCCCAACTAAGTGTTAGGCAACTAAGGAAACCGTGACATACAAGTTGTGTGTAAAGTAGTGATAAAAGAACACAGGAAAGGAATAAAAAGTGAACCGTCGTCTGGAAAGGCAGAATATGCACCTACCTAAGGAGTGGAAACAAAGAAAGGGCTGGAAAAGGACAGCAGGTGGAGAGGCCTGCTTCCCCTGTTGAAGAGGGTGCCCAGAGCACTCTCCTGGAGACCTGGCCCCAACCTCTGTCATCCTTCCAGTCAAAGTGCAAATGCTCCCACTCGTGGGCTTTACAGAAGTTCCGGCTTAGAATCAAAAGATCCAGGTTCAAACCTGGGCTCTTCTCAGAACTCTCTGAATGTCGGTTTACTCCCCTTTATAGTGAAGGTGTCAGTATCACCCACCAGACCAGGTCACTGGAAGGGTGGTAGGAGTTGTGTGTGTTGGGATTTCTCTACCATGGTCCTTGATAGGGAAGGGCATTTATGCGATTTAAATTTGAAACCATGCCTGTTTTCAGTTTGTTCATATAAGGGTCTGTGGAGACCAGCAGAGGCATGGATGAGGCACAGGAGCCAGCCCAAGGCATGAGGCAGTGCTGCTAATGTGTGGCAGGCTATTTCTTGACAGCATCAAGCAGCACCTAGAGATCCAGTCCTTGGCCTGCAGCTCTTTCCCTAAAGTTTAATCTCTTCATTCAGACGTTGCTCTTAGATGGTGAGATAGCTCATTTTTATAGCGTTGACCTGTGTCTATCAGCAAGTTGGAAAAGATGCTGATCAATTTAGGTCATTTTCACAAGGTATGAACAGATCCTGTATGTAGTCTTTCTATTCAAGTCTTAGCTATAGTGTTGAGTCAAGAATACTAGTTTGTGGGCCGGGGATTTAGCTCAGTGGCACCATAACTGCCTTGCAAGTGCAGAGTCCTGAATTCAATCCCTAGTACCAAAAAAAAAAAAAAAAAAAAAAAAAAAAAAAAAAAAAAAAAAAAAAAAAAAA